TGCGGTGCCGGCGGCAGCCCCCGGCCTGGCTGGGAGGTCTGTCGTGTCAGCGGGGGGTTACAACGTGCCTCACAAAGCTGGTTTGGGAAGGTAGTTCTGAAATGAGTGAGAAGCAGGGAATGGGGAGAATTGCGGGAGAATTGTTCCTCTCAGGGTGTGGGGGAAGCTTTCCTGGGGAAAAAGAAACGCTTGTGGCATGGGCCACAGAGTGTGACCAGCAGCAGCAGAGAGGTGATTGTCCCCACTGGTCACCCCTGGGGTGTTGAGTCCAGTTTTGGGCACCTCCATTCAGGAGAGATCTCGGGGTGCTGGGGCGAGTACAGAGGAGGGCAACGAAGCTGGTGAAGGTGAAATAGTTTTTAATTCTGCTTCCACGCTTTGTTTTCCCAAGATAAACGCAGACTCCTTTGGTTTAGATTTTGTGACTCGTTTCTTCTTAGTGCCTTCCGGGTGCGTTTTTGTCTCCGCTACTTTGAAGCTGAGCTTTCTGAGCTTCAAACTTTACGTTCTTTGTAGAAACCACACAGATGGAAAAATACAAAGTGTGGAAGCGGAGAGACATGTCATGAAGGTTAACTTCTGTAAACAGTAAACTGTTGGTGGATTGCAGCCAGGGACCTGACATCACCTGTAGTTGGGAGAACATCTAAGGCTTGTCTGCTCACACGCACCCACTAACTGGCCAAGCCTTAAACACAGCTCTCCACTTCTGTTGTGAATTAACTGCACTCTAACATTTTGCATTTACTGGTAGTTCTTGATGAAATAATGCTTATTATGCAGCCTGTTAATTGTATGATGGGTCTAACATCAATAAGTTTATCACTAACTTAGTTTATCAGGTTTCAGTAAACTTTTCAAAGTCCAGTGAGCAAAAGTTGCACAAGAAATAACTGCAACATCTCTGCTGTGAGTCTGAGCATGATAACAGAGGAATGAGGGCTTAATATAGACTGAAGAATTGAGATGTGTGGTCTACATTCCTGGTTCTGCTACAGCCCTTTAATACACTTTTTGATGACCTGTTCTGAGTGTATTTCTTTCCTTTACTGCATCCAATTTTCAGGACTTTGAGATAGGTAGGTAGATGGATATATAAAAAGATTTATATGTGTGAGTGTGTACACATACATATATATCCCATTAATAATATTAAACTATCTAAAAGACATGGTAGAGATACTCTTGTATTAATCAGCAACTATTTGACTAAAGAAGATCTGATTAACTTTGAAGTCCTTGTTGTTAAAGACCATGCTTCTTAACACCATCTCTCTGATGGATCGTGTTCTTCTAAGGTCATAGTGTCTGTCCAGTTATGTACATACTGAAACCTGAATGCCTTGAGGCACACACTCAGATCTTTAATCAGAGATTAAAGAGTAGCTACAAATGACCCTAGTTATAGGATACATCTGCAGTTAAAGTGTGATTGGGGTTTGTGTAGTTCAAGTTTCCCTGAACTTCACTGATGCATTTGACTGCAGTAGAAGTATACCCTTTAGTTGGTAAATTGTTAACAGTCTCAGTGATTGGAGGATTCTGTCAGTAAGTGTACCAAGAGAAGAAAGCTGAGGATCAGAGAAGGGGACCCGATAACCCTGCTATGGATGTTGATCTGGCAGTGGTATCGGAAAGCTTCAGCTTTTTTCCCCAATTATTCATTAGTTAGGACTGAGCAAAGGCCTTTGTTGGGATATTTTATTGTGTCATTTGCTTATATAATGAGTAGAAGACAATCTATTTTTTTAGAGAGCTCATACCTTCTTGTTGCAAGGTTCTCTGTGCTTCAAACAGAAGTTTGTGGTCTGAGGGCCTGTGCTTCAGACAAAGCAGGACATGGTAGGAAAGAAACTGATATTAAAGCAGCATGTGTGTTTGGTTCAAAACCACATTTTCTGTCAAGAAGACTGCATTAACTAAATTTAGGTTGGTCCCCTGTGAAGCTAATGGATTGAGCCAATCCAGTTGAGTCAATCTCAATTAAGAGAAGGGATGTAATAATTTTTTTTTTATGAAAGAGCCCTTTTCTTCCTCCACTAACATTAAAGGGAAACTAACCTCCTAATTTAGATACTTCAGGGAGGTTTCTAATTCTAGCTTGTGTAACTTGAGAGGCTTGCTGCATTGTCAAAACAGT